AAAAATAATGAAAGAGAAGAAAAGTTACCTAAGAGGTAAAAAATTTTGAAAGAAAGAGGTAAGACAGTAATTTTATGAAGAGAGTATTAGAGAAAAATATTGGAGGGAGAAAGGTGGAGAAAAATGTGAAAAGAGAGAATAACAAGAGGGTTAAAAAAATGTTTTTTTAAAAACGAAAAATCTATTTTTAAAAACAAGGTTTTTACTATTTTAAATTTACTTAAAATTCGAAAAAGCTTTTTCAAAAACTAAATGAGTTATCAAAGACCTGTTTTTCAAAAATAAAAAAAATAAAAATTAAGGCGGTAATTATTTTGTTTTTTATTTTATATTTTTTAAAATTAAACTTACAACCAACTTACACCTATGTGATCCTTCATCATGTTATCAGCTTTTTAAAAACATTTTCAAATTAGAAATTAAATATTGAAAACAAAAATAAGTAGTTTTCAAAAACTTGTTTTTATTTTTAAATTTGATTAAGAATTCAAATATATTCTGGGTAGCAAGAAAACAAGCATAATTTTTAACACAGAAAATAAAAACGAAATCATTATGAAACGGGCCTAAGATGTCATGTGACGACCATTTGTTCTTTATTTTATGTTTTAAAAATTAAACTTTGAAATACTATTTTTACCTATGTGTTTCTTTGCAATGGAAAGTACACTTTTGATCTTTGAGCTCTGGATTAAGTGTCTATTTGGTCTTTTAGAAAACTCGTGTTAATTCCTAGTATCGGTGGAAAAGAATTAATGTATGATTGATCTCCTTTTGGATCTCATTTGTGAAAAAGAATTAATATATGCTCGATCTCCTTTTGTATAGCCTCCTTTAATTTGAGTGATCCATGCAACACTATCTTAGTATTGGTGGAAAAGTTTTGATTGGTAGTAACTCTATGTGGTTGAAAATATATTAGATTTTAGGGCTGTATCGAACCGAACTGAATGAACTTGGTTTAATCTTTACCAGTTTTGTTACATTCTCGATTTTAACTAAACTGAATCCACTCATCAACCCAAAACAGTAATTTAGTATAGAAATTGAAAATTCGACAAGAAAACACTAATCGAACCAACTAGAAACRACCAAAAGACGACTCGACCAAAACCAAATTTCTTTTAGCAAAACCAAACCAAATCGATTTTTTCCATTTTCTCCCTAAACCGACCCAACCCAACCCTACCCAATGCCCTAATTCACACCCCTATTAGATCGTAAATCTCAATTATATGCACTGTTGACTTGTCTCTTGCAAATATTTCACAATGATTAGATCTCATTGCAATATTTTCTAATAGAAAAGTTGCTCCATCTTACCAAAATTAACGCAAGGAAAAAAAGTAATATTTGGGGAGAACCAAGTGAGAGAAAGTACTCTCATTTTTTTAGAATTGCAGTTCAAATCAGAGTGGAGATTCAAATTTACGACATTTAAGAGAAATTATTAATGAACTACGTTCAAATCAACATTAACAAGATGCAAATATAAACAAAATCAACCCAAAACACTCGGTCACTTTAATTAAGGAAATAATATACAATAACAAGAAACACAGTAGATGAAWTTTGGTCCATATCTCTTGAGACTATTACATTGAAAGTAAGAACCTTTCTACAAGAATGGACCAAAATGAAACACAGTAGATGAATTTTGGTCTTTTGACTTTCATCGGTTGATTTTACAAGAATTTTCATTTATTACATCATAAAACCGAAAGAGTCGAGAATGATCTAGTAATACCAATGGAAGCAAATTGTCGACATCAACTATAAATAAACTTGGATTTTAAAAAACATACCACGAAATTCGTTGTTAAGTTTAGTGAGAGCTTTGAGGAGCATCAGGCTGCTTCTCTGGTGCTGCATCTTGGAATGCTGGTATATCTTTGTATTCCTCATTCAACCTGGATAAAAGTGGGAATTTGGACTGCAAAGAATATTAAAGATTAAAAGTAGTCAACAATAGCAGAAACTAAGCAATAGAAAGGAAACGCTACGATGGTACTACATTGCTATGTAAGTGCATCGAAGTTACTAGCTCTCAACCAGTTTGTGAAGAGCATGTCGAATACTACTACTCTTTAACCATTTAAGCTCAATCGTAGCAATAGAATCTAGTCTAACAATTTTTAACCAGAGAGATACATGCCAAGAGAGTATTTGAGAGCTTCCATATCACCCAAACCAAACTGCCCAACAAGCCAAAAGATACCTCCCTGACGTCACTGACTAGCGTATATACTTCTGTTCTCGTAACAGACCGACACGCACATAAATTTACTCTTCCCTCTCTACCCCTTCCATCATCTTCCTATGGTAAACATTTATAACTGGAAATTGCCTCATTGGACTCTTTCTCCCTCTGTGTGCACAATGTGTATGAGCAACAATGAAACAGTGGACCACCTTTTTCTCCATTGCCCTTGTGTCCAAAGTTTGGGGGTTTATAGCTTCTTTGCTAGATTTATCTCTCTGTATTCCTAGAAGAATTGAGGATTTCATTGCTGAAGGTTATGGAGGAAGGCAGCTCAAGAGCAAAGCTTGGGTTCTTTGGAATTGTGCGGCCCGGGCTCTTTTATGGTCGATATGGAAGGAACGGAATTGTCGGCTTTTTGAAGATAAGTTGATTTTGTTAGATTCTTTTTGTGTGACTATTAAGCATCTAGCTTCTTGATGGACTATACTAC